CAGCGAGTTCTTTGCCCTGTGACAAGGTGACTTAGTGTAGAGATTAAAAATTATTGAATCCATTGAGTTGTCTCAGTATCACTATACTGTGCTACTTTAACCTGGCTCACTGTCCTCAGCTGGCTCTCGAGTAGTCACCTTAAGGGTTGTTTTGTTTGTCCTGTGGCATTAGTTCAGGGTTTTAGGAATAAATTTAAGGCTTGTGGGCAACATTTGTGTTGAACTGCAAAACCAAGAAGAATGGCAGACATTGGACACCTTAGGTTCATCTGGACAGTGTGATCATGAGGTCCCTTCCAACCTGGAATTCTAGGGTTTCTTTGATCATTTAGTTAACAGACTAGGACAGAATTCTAATTAGAACAGTGTATTCTCTCTGGAGGCCAGAAAGGGAACTTACAGCTGCTTAGAAGTGGAAAAGAAATACATATTTTTTGAAATCCTAAATTGCCACAGAGAAAGCAGATTAAAAAAAAAAAAAAAAAGGAATTCTGGAGTGTAAAATAATGGTTACTCTTGTTGAGGTACCCTGTAACTCATAGCAACTATGTTGTTACTGTCACCCCATGGTGGTTCTTACCTGTTACCATACAAAATAAGGATGAGAACTGTAGAGGAGAGTTGCTGCATTTGCACCCAGGTGTTTTGTTCTGAAGTCACTATTTACTCCCATGCTTCTGGAAAGCTGCAGAGCTTCCTTGTCTTTCCTGCTTCCATGCAAGTCACAGTCCCGCCCCCATAAGGCTTTGGATGTAAGCTCAACAATATACCAGGCTGCTTTGTACACTTGTACAGAATTTACATACATGTGAAACAGTATGCTTACAGTGTCTTATGCAGGATCAGGAAATATTCATTGAAACATTTTATTTTTGTTTCAGAACACACAGAAACAATAGCTTGGGATTTCAAGAAGGGAAGATGAGGAATGATTCTTGCAAGTTTAGTTGTTCACACTGAGCTACATAGGACAGCACTAGGCAGAGCAGTATTGACTGAAAAAAGGCTTAGTAGTTGATGGAGCTTTGGGGGTTGGTGTTCAGTAAGAAGTAGCACATAATTCAGGCGTTCGTTCATTCTAATTAAAGGGCTAATTAGGCCTAAGTCTGTCTGTGACTGATGTACATGAGCAGTTTCACTGGAATCACAAGTCAAGCACGTGCTTCAGAACCCTGCTGAGTTAGGTCCTAAATAGAGATTTCTTCACCTGCAGCATGCTATTGTGAATATGGCAGCGAGGGACTGCTGGTACAGTAGGCGGTGTACCTGAGCCAGAAAGGCTTACAGGCCTTTGTTCAGCACTGACATTTTAACTATTAAAACAAAAATGGCCACATAGACCAAATAATTTGTACAAGTCAAGCTCCTACATAAAAGGTGACTGCATATTCCTGCTTCTACATGCAAGAATGTGTACTCAAATCTTCACTTTGAACTTTACCTGGCATCTGTTAGAAGCAATGCAATTAGTCTGCAGTTTGAAATATGTCATTATGATTATTACTAAAAGTTGGGGGGGAAGTAGAAAAGTAGCTGCTTGCCAAAACTTCCATGTAGTGCAAGCAGCTGGCGGAGGGTAATACTTTGCAACAGTTTCCATGTAATGGCACCTGAAACACAGGGCCTCCTGCAGCAGCAGTGAGCCAGGGGTTAGGTGAGCTTTGCCAGGAGGAGGAGGAACGCTTCTGCACGCAAGTACAGTGTGAAGTGCAGCTATAAACCCAAGTCTGTTCAGACTGTACACTTAAGACATGGCAGTTTCATTACAGTGAAATATTAGCAACAGCTATGCAAAATTATTCCTCCTTTTGTATCATTCCTGTACAAACAAGGCAAATCATATATGTACACGCCATCAGCTGTTTTCTTGCCTTTTCTATTCACCACCACTATTAAGTCACAGGTGCTACCTGAACTTGTAGTTTGTAAATCAACAATAGCTAAACACAGGCTGTGTAAACAAACCTCTACATAATACTGATCAGAAATCTGCCTTCACTTCAGGCTGTTAGTATTCGTCACTATGCTGGCTGCTGCCTTTAATGTCATGATTTTACAGTTATATGAAGATACACTGACTGTGTTCACTCTGAGGTCTGCTCCAAGCCTAGTTCTGGCCTCTGGCTGTGAGCCTCTGGCTGTGACAACTAGCAGTTTATAAATGATGCTATAGAAACACTATATGTTACTTGTGCTGCAGGTAGTTCTGTTCTTTTTCTTTTGACTCTTGCAGTGACATTTCATTTTATATTTTCATCTATGAAATGCCCAGCTAGACATCAGGTGACCACTGATCTTAATCATGGGAGGGGTTGGGTGGTTAACACACAAAAAAAATACAAACCAACTAATGCTAACACCATTTTTTAACTTTCTAATTTTGCTGCTATAATTTTCCCCTCTACAACTACCTCTCAACAGTTCAGCTGAACCACATGATTATTCTAAATAGCTAAATATTTTAGTCTGCTTGAATGAGTCTCTTAGCAGGATTGTGAGATCACCTGTAGCATGCTTTTGTAAATCTACATGACTATCTTTTTCTTTTACAGAAACCTGACATGAATGGCATTATAAAGCCACCTTTTCTAAGGTATGTTTTTTTTAAAAAACTTTTAAACTAATTCAGTTGTGATGATTTTTTTATATTGGCTGCTTATTGTATTGATTGTGAGGGGAAAATAAGGATGTTTTTCCAAAATTACTGTGACCTTTCCTAGGTATTGGTAAAACATTATGGCTAAAATTTGGTTGCGGTTTTCTCAAGGGTGCCATCAGGTAAAATATACTGCATAGGCCCTTCTCAGAAACAATATGTGTATCTCCAATAGTCTGACAGGGAGCAGGACTTAAACTATACCTTTGAGGGTTAAAAGCAAATCTTTGGAGACTGGGAGCTGTTAAAGTCCAAATCTAACTGGACATTAATTTCCCAAATATCACAAAGGGAGCCTTCACATGTAAGCTTAAAAATTCAAGTCAAACTAAGAGTTGCCCAGAATCCTTTAGTCTAAAACCATAACTTAGTCTTCAAACAACTTGGATGAAGAAATTGCATGGATTAAATTTGGTTTTGTATTGCAGCAAGCCACCTAGTAACTTTGTGCATTTCTTTTCAGTGGAGAAAATCCTTTTGCAACTGTGAAACTCAGACCAACTGTAACAAATGACAGATCAGCACCAATTATTCGATGAATATATGGTCCATACACATGTACTTCCTCCTCATAAACACCATTTTCAGTAATGACAATTACTATCTAAACTTGTTTGGAAAATTTATTTAAATGTAATTACTGTACAATAGAATCATACTGGAATTAATTTTTTTTTTTTAACCTATACTTTCTAATGAGGTAGCTGCTTTGTGCTAATATTTGAGCACTTTGGCTTGATTCTACAGTATGCCTTTTTGGTAGTAGGAATTGTGAAAATACTGGCGATAGTCTGGATATTCTAGTAAACCAGTGTAACAGGTCACAAATCTGAATCTTTTGGCATTCATTATTTGGAAACTGCAATGGTAAGTTCTAGAATATAAGCCTGCATATGCCACTTACTAAAGAAAATTATGATTTTTTTTTTTTTCCCAAATAGAACAATGTAACAACTGCCTTATTACAGAATAGAGAACTGCCTGTATAAAGTGATTATATGTTATTTTAAGAAAGACACTCTAGGTTATAAATAAATATTTATCCTTTAAGAATAGACAACTTGTAATGCTTTGCTTAATGTTCAGATACAAATTTTCAAGTGTTAACATAGACCTATTTTAAGTCTAATGTTGTACTGTCAACACATTATTCAAAGATAACGTTCTTTAAAACACATTGTCAAACTTTAGTTTTATAAAAAGTCATAATAAAAGTGCCATGATTTTTTTCTCGCATTCTAATATAAAAAGCTGCCTTTGAAGTTACTCCACTACTGCAGTCTTCCACAAAAGAAAAACAGATTTAACTTTGAAAATTTTTGGTTAAGGAACCTAGTGCTAGCATAAATACTGGCACAGTGTCTGATTTAGGTGAAATAGTTTTTAATTCAAGTCACAAGTAGAGCTTTACAGTTTGTCTCAGGCCCCAGTTTTCTAAATCCAATGGTGCTACCTTGTCTGAAAGACTTTCCCTACAGCAATAATCATCTCAATGTTCAAAACTGCCTCTTCACTCTGCCTCAGCATTGGGTGCTTCAGCACTGTGCTGGTCAGGTGCCATCTCCTACCTGCTGTATGAACTCTCATGACTAGTGCCAATCCTTACTCTGAGTCATTCTACCTTACATATGTACATGGTTCCTACGTTTTATTGTGCCTGCTTCTACTACTGTAAACAGTAAATTCATGTCATGTGAATTGCCTTTTGCTTACTTAATATCAAAAAATAGTATATGAGCATGTGATGTCTCTAAGTGCCTCCTCATGCTGCCTTTCAAGTTCAAGCCTGAGGACACTTTCTAAAGCCCATTTCTGAGGACACTTTCTGAGCCCATTTTCTAAAGCATGTTAGAGGCAAGTCAACCTCAACTCTATAGGCTTTCAGTAAGTCAGTATCAGCATTAAATAACCTAAAATGCAAAAACCTTTACTTAGAACAGTGCCACAGCCTCTCTTAATTTCTGCTGGTCAGTTGTTACTGTTGTCTGTGAATTCAGACCAGCTCTAGCAGCTAGGACACTATTCCTGCAGCCCTGGGACATCACGTGTGGCCCTATAAACAAAACCTTTGCTAATTAAAATAGAGCTCTTACTGTTTGTCTCCTGAAGGCACTAGTAATAACAGAGGGGCCATTAGCACAGTGGCAGCACATACAGCACTTGCAACACTTTATTCAAAATCAGCTGCTGTGCTCAAGCAAGTACAGCCTTAAACCATGTTGTCTTTTTATCGTAAGGATTCTGGCAAATATTTATCCTTCTTTGTAGCTAGGATTACTAACTCCACTTTCAAAGTACATGTTATCAGACATGTTAGTCACATACTTAATAATCCAGCCACAAATTGAGGATTGCAAAAGGAAAAGCAGTTTTATTTAGTTTTCAACAGGTGCCACTAAACATGGAAAACAAGTTGGGTTTTCATGTTTTGCAATGCACATGCTCATAAAAGATTAAGTTTAAATTACATGCAAGAGACTAAATTTCTTCACACTTTACAAAACAGGTCTGAAGCAAATAAAATGATTGTACATGACATTTACATTAGAAAGAGTATGCTAACAGTTGTAGCTTCCATAAGCACGTCCACGTTCATCCCCTCAGCCAAAAGCTGCCCCACAATTAGGGCATCTTCTCTGCCTCAGTGCAAGACAGAACAGAATCCCAATTGGAAAGAATACAATGGCACACAAAACACCAAGACAGGTGAAGGTGTCCTCCAACACGCCAACCCTGTAAAAATGGAAAACAGACTTAGTCAAGGACACCCCCACATTTGCCCCAAAGTTAGCACTTTGTGATCTGGCAGTCACTGAAAACCACACCATTTCATATAGCAAGATAAGTACAAAGGTTTGGGGTTGGTTTTCTCCCTTGAAGAGGCCTTTATTTCATAGCTTGCAGCAGAAGGTTTCAAATTACACCACTTAAAGAAAAACAGGAAATTTGCAAGTGATCAGACTGTAGGTAGGCCTAAAAGGCTTAATTCAAACTAGCTCTTTAGTTCCAGAGAGCAGCCTTTTCTCTATCACTGCAATCCAGGACTGGCCCTTAGAACAAAACAACCACCACACCTCTGAGTGCTTGTCTCAACTCCAAATATTGGTTAAAGCAAGTACACCCAAGCACACACACAGGTGTATCACCTGCTGTACAGGGGAACAAGTCACATGCTCTCTCAATTCGGAAAAAGCATTTAACATGACAGCCTGTGCCTCTGCAGCCACCTCTGGTCCCTAAAAAAAGCTGAAAGTCATGGCTCTTCTGTATTCTTGCATCCTAGCTCAACTAGCCTTGTCAAGTAACTATGTAGGAATAAAAGATCACACATTCAAGAATAAGCAAGTATCAACCCTGAGCCCTTGCTGGCCCTTCTTAGGGTCAAGCTCTTGTGTACAAGTGAGGATAGAATTTTCTGGAACTAAACCCCAGTGTCACTGAAGTCTACTCCCATAAAATGAAAAGCAGCCTGCTTTTAAAAGTTTACTGGCTCCTCTGGAATGAAACAGCACTGAAGATTTAACTGCATGGGTGTTGTTATACTGGTTTATCACACACCAAACAATTCCATTTCTCATTTTTTTAGGTCTTTTACAACAGGCAGCAGTCACACTTGTGTCATATGCTTTGCCTACCTCATTTCCTCAACTATCCTGGGGTGAACACTCTCTCATGTCCCACAGTATATGTGCACTAGCACTCTTTCAGAAAAAAAATAATCCTTGCTTTCTGAATGTCTTGATCTGATGATTGGGTGCTTTTTCTCAGCTGCTTCTTAAAATGAAGGTTTGAATGGACAGAGTTGTGTAACACTGGGTAAGGGCTTCTGGTGAAACATCCAGCTCATGCTTTCACTAAGCAAATTAAAACCACTGCAGACAGCAACATGCAAATAGGTTTGTTTCTGTACGTTACTTAAAATTAATACACAACTTGGCACTGGCTGGTTCCTGGAGTTGCCAGCACGTTCTCTTAGATGTGCTGGCATTTTTCTTCAGAGCGCACAAGTCAATATAATTAACGTGCAAAGGGCTGCATGCACAGGGTGTTTAGGGCTCTGACCGATTCAGCAGGATAAGGAGGACTTAAAAGACATTCTAACTGTAGCTTTACAGTGAAAGAGTACTTCAAATGTCAGCATTTTGTTGTGGAAGGTGCCAATTAAAGTGTGTAGAGGACAATGCTAACTACTCAGTCAGACTTCCTAAGTCACCAGAATACTCAGAGGTGCAGCACTGGTGTCATAAGCTGTTTAACAAGTTTATTTCTGGTAGCTAGAAAAGTCCAAGGGCCAAACACACATCACTATTAAAATAACTCTCAGTAGGTGTTTCTGGTTTCTACTTCCAAAGACTGCTGCTGTCCCTTTAGAGCTGTAGGAGAACCTACTATTGGTATCAGCTGAGTCCCAGCTGAATGACCACCCTACATGAGAAACAGCAGAAATTTACCTGAATTTCAGTCCCTGAGTTCTTTCTGAAGTGCTGTATCTAAACATCCCCCAAAATGAAGAAAAACAGTAAAACCTGACTTAAGAAATTTGAGCAGCTATACTTATTAGTCAAAATGTGGTGTTTAGCAAAACACTTGCATAAGATGTGTCCTCCCAGATTTCCTGGTACAGTGGAAGTCAACAGAAACAGAGCTAAGTGACCCTGAAATACATGCTACAAGCAAGGTGCCAAGGCCAACAAGTTTTTGTTTCCCTGCTGAGCAGTCCCAGACAACTTCTTGTACATGTAAATAGAGTGAAAGAAGGAAGATGCAGGCTCACAGATCATTTCCTTACTGCAGTTGGCTCTCACATTACACCCTGATTAAACTTAGGAATCATTCCCCTTCCCCTCAGCCATCATAAGCCAAAGGCTTTCTGAAGTGTTCTTGATACTCTGCTGCTTACACAACTTCATGTTTAGCCTGAGCTTTCAACATCAATCCCCTCCTTTTGATGAACTTTATTTCTGTTTACAGAGTTCTTCTGATAGAAGTCAACTTTATATTTGGTATAAAGGTATTGTCAGGGTACAGTTGATCCCAGCAGTAGTTTTCTAATTTCATATCCTCAAGTGATGCTTCCTTTAAGGCAGCAAGTTAAAAGATGTAGACTAATGCTCAAATCACCATACAGATACTAGTCTAAGCACAAAGTGTCCCACAGCTTAGACTTCTGTAGCCTCTGCTGTTCATTGCAGCTACTCCTACAAACTGAGCGTAACATAAGCCCTCTGTTCCCTTAAGTCAGGCGTGTGCATACCAGAGCTCCATCGATCAGTGCAAGCACTTTGTATTGCCACAACAATGTAAGATTACTCTTGAACACTGACATCTGTGCATCCAGAGAGATAAGAACAATGAGAAAGTAGCTCTGCAGAAATGTTCTGCTGTTATAACAAACTCTCTAGGACTTCAGATCCTACCATTTTTCCCAGAGCTGAACATACTTTGCAGAGCTTGTTTCAGTGGTGTAGGTACCACCTTTTTTCCCCACAGCTCCAAAGCATTTCAGAAAAGCCTCCTCAAGAATGTAAGAATTTCACCTCTCTCTCCAGTACCTTTTAGCTCCTATTCCCACACCTCTCTATCACCAAGTCACAAATCCAGTATCAACAGTGGCCTAAAATTAAACTTAGAAAGTATCCATGGTACTGCCCAAATTCATAAAACCACCTTTCTCCAGGATGGAATTGCCATATTCAGCACATGTTGTAAAGGACAATGGTTCTGGCATGTCACCCACAGACACTACTGTTAGTACTAGAAGTACTAAAAAAGTTAGTATTTCCTGAGTACTTTGTACAATCGTTGTGGTATCTGTAGTATCTTTTTCTCCAACTGAAGCAGAAGTGATGTTTAAAGAATCAAGCATAAGGTAACTTTTTGGAACTTTGTTCTTTATAAATAGATTTCTTTACACCTCCAAAGGGATATGACACCTCAGCAATCAGACTGTCATCCCAGGCAGTGGGTCCAGCTTACCAGGGTTTTGTATTCAATTCAAATTACTGATTCTTGCCACAATGAGTTGCTGACAACACGCAGAATCCCACTTTCATTTCTGCTATTTCTACTACAAGTTTTAATACTAAGCATTAACAGAAGACACACTCAGCAGCAGCAAGAGCAAGGTTCTTGGAAAGAGCACTACAGCTTGTCTGTGATGCAGTTCACCAGAGCTCTCTTCTGTAGGTCAGGTTTGGCGACGCCGATGTCTGTCCAGCTGACACTGCATGTGTTCCTGGTGGGGATGAAGGGAGTTGTGAGTGCCATCACCTAGCCTTTACACTTCTGCTGGCTTGATGACAAGTACATCCAGTGGGTTTACAAGGGTCAGAGAGAAAGGCTTCACGTACCCCCACCTGGCATGCAACACATTCCTACCTCTGCAGGGAAAGTGCTGACAAACGACGCTACACGCCAGCAGACAAGAAGGAGCCAGGCCATTTCTGCTGCAGAGCTGAAACTCGCCCCTGTCTTGGCACATTAGGCACTGACTCACAGTACTTGCCCTGCATCACCTCAGCAAACAGCACTCAGAGAAAACTACAGGCACTAGATTTGCTCAGCTTGGTTAATATTTCTTTTTAGTCTGTGTCTGGTGTTCTGCTAACCAGGGTTCCCATCAGCCCAGGAGCAGTGTCTGCTTCCCCTCCCCTCTCACCACAGAGCACTCCCCAGCAAAGCAAAATACGGATGGGGAGAACAGTCAGAGGGGATAGTGCTGCCAGGGAAAGAAATATGGAACAAGTTATTGGAAAATTATGAACCGAACAGCAGTCACTGTCGGTACTAGAAAGAGGGCAAATATCATACAGGGGTATATCATGAAGTAAACTTTTCCCATATACTCTGGATTATTAATGCTTCATACATTAATGCTCTCATACCATTGATTTCATTCACTAGGGAAAAGGTATGCTACTAGAAGAGCCATCTCCTGGGAAGAATCTGCTAATAGGACTGAAACACAAAGCTATTCAAAACCGTTTTGACAGCCAGACTGGTTACAGGTACAGTGATAGAAAGGACACAAATGTTCAACCAAAACTGGCAAGCCTGAATGCAGAAGTTGCATATGGCAATTTGTACTTGTGGAAACACATGAAATGCTGAGCACCCTCAGACCAAATAAAAATCAGCAGTAGAAGCTCTGGAGGTGAGGCCTCTCCTTTTCCCTCCTCCACAGGTTAACCCGGTAACATACTGCACGTTCCGAGAGGCTCGGACACAGCCGAGATGTTTCTGAGTACTTAAAGATTCAGGCAGTTTTCAGTACTACAGATCCATCCAAGAAAGGCGAAGTCCCTTTTCCAGGCATTTCAATGACACCAAAAATAACATTACTTTGGAAAATGCATACTAAGTGCAGTACACGGCACGTTAAGCCTATTGTATTTCCTGCCTTGTTTTGCTATTACACTAATGCCATCTTTTTCATTCACGCACACTGAGCATTCCCCTCCTGCAGGCATTCAACTCTTGCTTTGTTAGTTTTTAAAATCTTCTCCTTGTCTCTCAGTAATTCCATATTCAGTTCCTGCCCTGAACTTCACCTTAAGTAAGTCAGTGTGTTTAGAGTATAAACAGCCTAATTTTTGTCTGACCTTAAAGAATAAACACACTAATTAAACATCAGAGGGGGATCAATCAGGACACCTCTGGTCAGCCCCGAGTAGCTGCAAACCCAAGCATAGATGACTGCTGTCTAACCCATTACAATCAACCCTCTTAATCAG